TCTCATTGGTTGTTATCTCTTTCAAGGTCAAGGTCGTTTAGAAATGCATATATTCATCATCCTTGTCAGCTGTTTTGACAGTTGTTAAGACAGTGGAAGCTTTCTACAACGGTGTGTCAACTCTTATTGTCTTCACGCATCGGTGGTATTTTCGTTATTGTAGTGGTTGACGTTCTAATTAACGTCTAGAGTCAATTCGTTTGCGCGTTATGTTCGTAAAGCTCGTAGACTGTTAAGTCATAGCGAAGAGGAGGAACAACATAAATTACAGTTCTGTATACTTGAATTTTGGAATACAGATACTATGTGCATAAACGTCGGCCTGCTTGAACCTTTGGCTACCACATTTATCCACTCAACATTATTCATCAAATTCTTTCTTTCTAATTTGTTTTAATCGTTTAAATATATCTTTTGAAAGTATCATATACTCTTGAACATTTTTAAACTATTTTCAACTCTCCATTTGTAAAGTCAATAAGAAAACAGAGAAAAAAATATCACGTTTTATGGAAATGGACTTTTCGGTGCAAAAAAGTACATCATATTTCTATCAGTCAGATACTTAGCTTGACTTGCAGATATTTCTTATGTCCTAATAAACCACCACCACCAAAATAACGTTTGCATTTCTGTTGATTCTTCATTATGGACCCGACGCCCATCCAGAACCAGCTGGCTATTTCACATTATTCCCATGAATACCGTTATTGGTAACATCATGCAGACGCAATAAACGTTTAATCTGAAACTATTGTTATTGTGGGAGTGAAGTTGTTGAGAAATTACATGCTGCGAACTCCATACTGTACCATACGCATTGTTTGGAATAAAACTATTGTTATTATTATTATTATTATTATTATTATTAACGACCTTGAGTAAATAGATTGAATTATAATAATTGGTGAATTGTTCGTCCATTGGTTTCCAAGTGAAACAAAGTTGCAGCAGTAGGTCGCCATTCCACTCTCTTCTCTGCTATCTTTGAAACCCGGCACCACAGATGCCCTAAAGCCTTCCATCCTTCCTCACACAATCTCCTCCATGTCACCCACACGAAAAAACAACTCGTGCTTTCCCCTGCGGCTTGAAGTCCATTGTCTGGCCTGGCCCGGTCTGATGCAAGATGTCACCAAAATCGTCATCTCAGTGTATGTCCAATCCATCTCCAATTTCTTCCTCTACATATTTGTTGAGTGATAGGTTGTTGGTTGGTTGGTTCGTTGACAGACAGACACACTTCCCTCCTGCGTACTCTTAGTATTCTCGACATCTGATCTGATCTGATCTGATCCTCAGTGTCAGTATCGAGTGAGAGAGAGAGAGAGAGAGAGAGTAGGCGGCAGCTAATCATCTCATTCATGTCTGCAGTTTCATGCAGATGCTTTCCGTAGTGCATCAAGTCTCTCAACTATCAATCACATTGAAGCACTGACTGACTAACTTGATATTCACAGCCAATATCAGAATCTTGTTCACACTACTTTATGCTGAGTGTGGCAGATCTCCACACTGATTATTTCCGATTGATGAGGACACGTCTCATTGTCTTCCCAATCCCGGATTTCACATCCTCATGTGTGCAGCCATCACCACCTGTAGTTGAGATGATGCTACCTACGTGGATGGGTGGGTGGAAGAGACAACTTGCCTGACATTTCTACTGCAGATGGTGATTGTTTATTGGTGTTTGTTGCTGTTGTTGTTGTTGGTTGAGCATCATCATCAACTCTGTTTCCTTTACACTCACCTGAAGGAAGTCCCATATTCCTTCGCTGCCTCGGTCTGCCCTACCCTACCCAAACCCACCCTACCCTACCCTACCCTACCCTACCCTACCCTACCCTAATCTGCCTCTTTCACCAACGTATTGATTTGCGTGTGTACATCTTCGAGTTTGTGCGACAACACATTACACATAAATCATCAGTTATCAAATCGGCATTTATTCAATGTAGTTCCGTCTTTAAGTCCTTCTGATGTACCTACTTCAACATATTCTTCTCTTAGGATTCTGGATAAACACTTTCCTAGAGGTGTTGTCAAGTATTTTTATAAAAACTGTTTATAGGTTATCGCATTTTGAGGTTCTGCGCATTCTATGTATCTTTGATAAAAATTCTCTCTCCGTTTCTCAACTTGGTAATTTCTTATCATTATGTTCAATTTGATTACAAGTAATTTTAAGGTAGTATTCATCACAGACTGATATCACAACCTATGGAAAATCTGTGAGGACTGGAAAGCTGTTGCTTATCGTTCTCCAACTGATGTCAGTTCGTCATAACTACTACGATAAGATTAACAAACCTTTAAATAAGTTAATTTTAACTTGAATCCACTACCTTTTGAACTTATTCCTATTTCATTGACTGAGTTTTCCTAATTTTAGGTAATCATTTTGCCTTTCTCAGTAGTTTTACTGGTTGCACTATTACCTTAAAGTCTGTTAAACTGCCAATTCATTTTACAATCTACATCTCCACTTCTGTCTAACCACTTGTCTGTCTTAGGCATGGACTCTATGCCTTTCAATTTAAATAAATTAATAATTCCCATTGTGTTATCAAGAACAAGATGTTCAGAGAAGAGACTCTTTTCAACGAATTTATTTTCAAGCTGTACAGTCGTATATATATGATATTTGGAGAAAATTATATCCCATGAGGAAAACTAAACACTATGTGATGATGACAATAATAATAGAGTGGATAATGACATAGGCACCACTGTTGAGACCACTGTTAGCAGATTTTTTCATGTCGAAACTAGAATATTCACAACTTCGTCAAACTATTATTAGCTTTGACTTTTATCGAAGATATATGGACGAAACTTTTGTAATTTGTGACGAAAATGTTGATCTAGACGATGTTCTTCGTTCATTCAATGAGTGTCATCAAGCCCTCAAGTTTACTATAGAGAAGGAATCAGAATCAACTATTCCTTTTCTTGATGTGCTTCTCACCCGACGTCAGAATGGATGCCTCGAAAGATCCATCTACAGAAAAGCAGCGTGGAACGGACAACTAACTAATTTTTATAGTTGGGTGCCTATCGAAAGAAATCTTATTCACTCTCTTTGCTATCGAATAAGAAATATCTGTAGTGACGATTGTATTGATGAAGAGCTATCTTTTTTAAAAAGCACACTTGTCATAAATGGTTACCCTAGCCGTTTTATTGGTAAAAATATGCTAGAAAGAAACACTAAACCGGTCATCCACTCGGTTTCAAAGAAAAGATTGTTCATTAGCCTAGAATTTGAAAGTATCCTAGCATCGGATGTACTGAAGAATCGTCTTGCCAGATCAATCAATAGAACTTTCTTCGCAGCAAAACTTCAGTTGACTTTTACCAGCCATAACCTATTCTCCACCTGTGTTAAAGATATGTTTCCTTGTTTTGCCACCTCTATGTGCATCTACCAGTTCACCTGCTCTTGTGGAGCAAGTTACATTGGCCGAAGCCAGAGATTGCCCTCTACATGTATACCAGGACATGTTCCTGCTTGGTTTTATAAAGGTGAAAGAAAGTCTGTTAGAAGTTTCATTCTAGAACATTTGATTGACTTCCATCACACAACAAATCCAAACAATGACTTTAAAATTATTTATCAAATTCTGCCAAACCTCCCACGTTCTCCTCGTTTCCAACTCCTCAAAACAGCGGAGGCCTTAGCTATTCATGAACTAAGACCTGATCTGTGTGTACAAAAGAAGTATGTGCAGTCACTGTTTTTGTCATGGCCATAACATTTTCCAACCTATTAGGTCCCCTCCCCCCCCACACTTCGTTAATTTAACCGTTGTAACTTTGTATCCTTCCTTTATCACTATTTTTGTTATTATAATCACCTTCACTTTAATGAGTTTCCTGTGTTATTTCACTTAATTGTCTTAATCCTTTTAGAAAACATTGATTTCATCCTGTCCAACTTGTCTAATGCTATATATAATACTGAATTGATTTCAAGTTGTTATTATAGTAGACTGATATCAGTTGGAGGAACAAAGGAAACCTGGAGCACTGGACAGCTGGTTCCTCCTAATATGGGACTCCTCACCAGTGCGCAACCACGACCTCACACCACCAGGGATCGAACCCGCGACCTTCAGGTTCCACGGCCAGCTCGTTAATATCGAGCCACTGGGTCAGAATCCAGTGGTCGAACTTCTCTTAGCTCACGATATATCTCAACCGTCACCCAATGTCATCGTTGAGTAACTGTCCTCACGACCATCAGGGTTCGCCCCCACCAGTCACGACTTCTCATTGGAACTTCGGGAATACTTCTCAAAGCTAGTCACTACTGAACATCAGTTCAATTGAATTTTGAGGGATTTGTGGAGATTTGGAAACATTTCAAGTTGTTATTCATCGTAGACTGGCGGGGTCGTGGGTGCGCACTGCTGAGGAGTCCCATACTAGGAGGAACCGGCTGTCCAGTGCTCTCAGGTTTCCTTTATTCCTCTAACTGATGTCAGTCTACGGTGAATAACAACGTGAAATATTTCTAAATCTCCACAACTCCCTAAAAATTCACTTAATTGATTTGCCATTTTCAACAATTTTTTCATCCACTACTCAGTTATATACTTTCTTTGAACCATTTCATATATTACATAATCTATTTGTTATCATCCACACTTCAATTGTTATTGCAATCACAAATGCTTATATCATCATTCGCTCTATTATTATTATTGTCATCGACATATAGTGTTTAGTTTAACTCACGGGATATAAATTTTTTGCATATCATATACATATACGAATGTATAGCTTGAAAATAAATTCATTGAAAAGAGTTTCTTCACTGAATATCTTGTTCTTCAGTTTTACCCTTTTCTAATAATTTATTTTGATTCCGAGGTATATAACTAAAACGAAAGTGATGAAGTACACTGATGTTGTTGCATTCTACAACACTCATCTTTCTGGTTCTTTTCAAATTTATGAAACGAGTGCATTATCTAACGTCGGTAACACCTAATTTATGAAATATTTCCATCAGTCAAATATTCAGCATGATCATAATATCTATCTGATAACTGCAAACTATTTTGTGAAGCTTTACTACTTTAAAGATATTATGAATCATATATATCTACAAAAGTACCTTTCCAACTTTTGAGCCAGTAGCCTTGTATAACTGTTCAAATCAATCTTATTTTCTAGCATGACTAATGCCATTAAACTGTATGTCCTGTAGCCATATCCACTCAAATATTCTGAAGCTTCACTTTCATTGTTTTCAGACTTATTATCAGAATCGTGCATCCCAATGCATCTGAGGTAAAAAAAATCCACTGGATCCGAAGGTATTAATAAGTAAATCTGTCTTGCGACGTTGTCGTACAACATTTGCTTAGTTAATCTTTACTTTAAGCTAATCAGTTAACCAGTTATAGGTTCTTTTATTAGATTATAAACCATGTCTCCCGTATCCGACTTTATGACATCATCTGGTTGCCTAAACTTATACTGGTAAAGCGAGTTCTGAAGAAATAACCCTGTGAATGAAGGCACTCAGGACTAGACAACATGAAATTGGTTGCACGCTCTTGACCAATCAATACATGTAAGCCAGTCTTACGGGAGGGGAATCGCGGCCCGAATAGCTCAATGGCAAAATCGCTGACTACAACACTGGGTGACGTGGGTTCGAACCTCAGGCGGGACATCGGTTCAGTTGAGGTTGCATATACGCCTTGCTGACGAGTGCCAAAAAGCACGAAACCTAGGTCCAGGGTTTCCTGCCGATTGTCTCCAACCAACTAACATCTACTAATGTGCACCGTGATGCTGAGCTTCCTAGCTTGGTTGCCACATTGCAAATATGATCGATAGAATTCGGTCTGCACTCAGAACTAGACAACATGAAATTGGTTGCTCTCCCGTGACTAATCAATACATAGAAGGTTGTATGGATTCAACTCAGATAATTGTTACATATTTCATAAATCTTCATTCAGTTAAACTTCGATCGACTGTTTATGTTAGTAAAGTATGAATCCTGAATGAATTGAGTGTTATGCATTAGAAAGAGACGGTAATGATTATTCTATTAAAAGATATGAGCAAAACCAAAGATGGTTCACTGTTATGCTTAAAACTAGGTTAACAGTTATGATGTTATGCGAATGAAAATCCGCTTACTCTTCTTATTCACATTTATGTAATAAGCAATGAGAAACATCTTTAATTTCAACGCTTATGCTACTGTCTAGACTCCTCAAACCTTAGATGACTGACCTGGGTTCGAACCTGCGATCCATAACCAACGAACCATGTTAAACAATAGGTTTCAAGTTCAACAGTTAATAATTCTGAATTCTATTTATCGCTTATTTCTTAACAGTTCATTTATGAAATTCATTCCTTGATTTAGATACTACTCATTCAGAGAAAAATTGATTTTCAATAAAATTTATCAAGTGTAGGCTGAAGTATAAAAGGTTTATATTACATGTTTGGCAAAAAATTTTCACATACAATAACATTAAAAGTCAAGTGTTGTAGACAATAATATCTGAGGGAAGGAAGATGGAAATAAAAGTCCAAATTACTTTCTGAGATAGTCAAAAAAAATCGATGTAAAGTTAGAAATTAGCACGAAATGAGACAACAATAAATGAAGAAAACGAACGAGGCAAGGAAAGAAAAGTATATGGGATATAATGAAACATTCATGTAGAGATTACAAGTTGGACTGAAGGTCGATTGGAATAAAGATCTACAGGTAATGTGAAATTCACTTGCTTCTCCATACCATATTTATCATCTGCAAAAGAAATACTAATTGGCAACAATGGATACATTCAGAATGGTAAGAAACGGATCTGAAGCAGTTATAAGTTCTTAATCTTTCACCAAACGATATCAGTCTCTTGGTAAATAAATAAATGATTATTATTTTTTGTTCCTTAGGATCCAAGTGGAACATAGGGTTGCATTAGCACGTCACCATTTCAATCTCTTCTCTTTTGTCTTAGAAACCCGGCTCCACGGATGCCCAAAACGCTTTCCTTTCTTCTTTATATCATCTCCTCAGTGTTGCGCGATAAGTTTCTGGTTAGTTCATTGACAGCCAGACACACTTCCCTCCTGCTTACTCTTAGTATTCTCAACATCTGATCTGATCTGATCTTCAGTGTCAGTATCGAGTGAGAGAGAGAGTAGACGGCAGCTAATCATCTCATTCATGTCTGCAGTTTAATGGAAATGCTTTTCGTAATGCTGCAAGTCTTTTAACCACCACATTGAAGCACTGACTTACTTGACTGAATTAATGTTGAATATCCGGATGTCCTTCATACTTTATGCTGAGTGCAGTGCATGATATCATTTACTGATACCTTAGTTCGTAGTGTAAGCTCATGGTCATTACTCACTTTATTTCTCACTGATTCCAAAGCCATCCTCATCGGCATGTTAGCATACAAACTGACCATATCAAAACTAATCATTTTTTTTCATTATAATCTGAATGTATGTCGTCTAATCTGTGTTTAAGTCTCAATTCAGAACGGTTTCTAACTAGGCCTAGTACCATCGCTAATTATTTACACAGGTCATGAGTGAAATGTTTCTTTAGTCTACTATGAATTTATTAGGATAATTTGGCCTACAGATTTTAATTCTGCCAGGATTATTAGTTTTCGGCACTCAATTAAACGATTTTTCCTTACTTAGAAATGGTTCCATTCAACGTATTAGATCCTGTGTGAATGTCTTAACTAGTGAGTAATACTATGAATAACCTAAAAACCACCTTAGAAACAAATTATGTGGATTAAAACAAACTATTGATACAATTAGACAAAATAATTTAATTTAACAAATCCCCAACAATAATTGTAAGGTCAGAGTGATCAACCAGGATCATTTAGGCTGTTCAAGAACAAAACCTTGGCTGAGTCAAGATTGGGTGATCCAACTATGATGATGAATCTGGACAACGGCTCGGCTAAAGCTATGCCTACAAGTTCATGCCATCATACAACAGGGTGGGATGGAGCAACAGAGAGAGACAAAGAGAATCAACACAAAATACGCGCAACATGAATGTAACAGCTACTGTTCGAGATATGTAGAAAATTCTGCTACCCATATCACAAAGAACTTTGTAAACCATAGCTCACATTTTTGGCATAGTAGTTCTATGACTATGAACGATGAAGTGTATCCTAAACATTATCCAGTAAATCATACTTTTCCACTGTCACATATCTAATAAACAGACGAAAATGTAACTATTGAAATGTTATTAAGTAGTACTGATTTTTACTAAACAGAAATTCTGTTTTTCATTTACATTCACTAATATAATATTATGTAAAATAATATTATTGTAAGTTGTCATTCCTTGTTGTTAATAGGTTCGAATCGAATAAAACACTGAATTCTAGTATATCTGGTCCTGTGTTGTTGGTTTTGTTATTATTACATCCGACAACCATAACCAATCACTTCAGTTATAAACCAGTCGGAAAAAAGATTTTAAAAGTCATAGTGTCAATCGATACCCGTTAGAAAAGGAAATGACGACTGTGTAGCATAATCATAGTTGATAACTAAGTGGTGCTTGAAGTGATAGACGCTAGACATGAACCCAAGGAAGAACAAATACCTAATCAAGCACACTAAGCTGACAAATCTTTAATGAGATTAAATGTGTGTGCTAGATTCGATCCTTAATTTTTTTTAAAGTTTATTACTGAAAATGATGTCCAGTCTTTAATAGTTTTATGTGAAGAGCACTTATTCAATCATGCATACAGGTATGCAGATTGGAAAAAGCGCTACCTTGTAAAACTCACAAAGACGAATGACCTAAGTATTCGCAAAAACTCGCATCAATTCGTACTCCTGTCACCAACAACACAAGCAAAATATTATACCGCATCATCATCGACAGACGAAAAATTCTCACCACTCAAAATTACAACAACAACAGCCTCGCTAACTGGCTGGCCAACTGGCTAGCTGACTAAATGGCTGGCTGGCTGGCTGGCTGGCTGGCTGGCTGGCTGGCTGGCTGGCTGGCTGGCTGCTGGCTGGCTGGCTGGCTGGCTGGCTGGCTGGCTGGCTGGCTGGCTGGCTGGCTGGCTGGCTGGCTGGCTGGCTGGCTGGCTGGCTGGCTGGCTGGCTGGCTGGCTGGCTGGCTGGCTGGCTGGCTGGCTGGCTGGCTGGCTGGCTGGCTGGCTAGCTAGCTAGCTAGATTCAGGAAAGGAAAATCCAGTGTACATCAAATTGCAACTACACGATACACATCATCATTGAACTCAGTCAGTATAGAATGCAAGTCAACTCCATATTTATTTACCTGAAATTCATCCACACTCAATAAAGCATTTGATCGAAGCGTCGATCGAGAAGTAAGTTGACACATGCTGATTCAACAGTACACTTTCACTGACACAAACTTCTATCAACACCACTGAACAGCAACTATATGCCATATGATGCTGAGTGATGTGAAGTGATTCACAGTGTGAATCTCAGTGATGAGTTTGCAGTGAAGACATGAGAGAGGAGTAATATGAGGTTGTCACCTACTATCACCTATGATCTTCCTGACTGTGGTCGATCACACTCGACTGGACTGGAGTGGACTGGACAGTATCGTGTAACAGACAACTGTGAGGAGATGTGAGAAGATGAGCATGTTGTGACTGGAGCAATGAACACAGCCTATGAGATTTGGATTTCACCAGCGATGATGATTTATGTCTAATGTGTTGTGGCACAAACTCGAAGATGTACACACGCAAATCAATACGTTGATGGAATAGGCAGATTAGGGTAGGGTAGGGTAGTGGTTGGGTAGGGTAGGGCAGACCGAGGCAGCGAAGGAATATGGGACTTCCTTCAGGTGAGTGTAAAGGAAACAGAGTTGATGATGATGCTCAACCAACAACAACAACAGCAACAAACACCAATAACCAATCACCATCAGCAGTAGAAATGTCAGGCAAGTTGTCTCTTCCACCCACCCATCCACGTAGGTAGCATCATCTCAACTACAGGTGGTGATGGCTGCACACATGAGGATGTGAAATCCGGGATTGGGAAGACAATGAGACATGTCCTCATCAATCGGAAATAATCAGTGTGGAGATCTGCCACACTCAGCATAAAGTAGTGTGAACAAGATTCTGATATTGGCTATGAATATCAAGTTAGTCAGTCAGTGCTTCAATGTGATTGATAGTTGAGAGACTTGATGCACTACGGAAAGCATCTGAATGAAACTGCAGACATGAATGAGATGATTA